GGGGGGAAAGAAACCGAGAGACGCACTGAAGCGCAGGGCCTTGAACAGGTAGCCGGCAGTGCCCTCCAGGGCCTTGGGCAGGTAGAACGGATCCCAGGCGGAAGTGAGCTGGTGGTTGTAATCCGGGTTGACAACGCTCACCGGCTTGAGGGTGCCCTGCGGGTCGCGGCTCGGGAAGAAGAGCTTGATCAGCGAGTCGTTGGTCGAGAAGGACAGGGCGTTCGGGGCGTTGGCGTCGGCCGGGTCAACCGGCGAGGTGAACACGCCAGAGGCATCCATGCCACCGGGGGTGCTCATCAGCTCCATGAAGAGCTCCTCCAGGGTGGGCTTCATGGAATCGACGAAGGACCGGATCGACTCGTCCAGGGAATCGGCGGGGTTGGAGAAGGCCGGGTCGTGGAAGTAGTCGCCGACCTTGTCCTGGACATCGGTGAACATCTCCTGGCAAACGGCGAAGGGATGCGCGGAAGTGTCCAGCCCATAGGTGTAGTGCTTGGGGGTCTTGGTGTAGCGCGAGGAGATCGACAGGGTGATGGCGACCTCCGCGGTGCCGAGGGTCACCGGACCATAGCACCGGAGGTAGGTCTTGACATCGTCGTCATCCTGCAGGTTGAAGGGCAGGACATCCAGAACACCATGGGCCTCGGCGAAGGCCTGGATCTGGGTGCAGAGGGCCTCGGTGTTGCTGCCCGCGGTCGCGGTCCGGCAAGTACCACCGGCCTTGAAGGCGGCGATGACGGCGGCCGGGGTGCCGATCAGGTTGCTGAGGTTGGAAGCCGAGGCACCCTCCACCTTGAAGGCATTGTGCAGGGAGGCCGAGCAGTGCGAAGTCCCGGGGAACCAGCCGGCCACCAGGCGACCATAGGCGTTGGCGGCGGAGGTCAGAGGACCACGCTCGCAGTTGTGGGACGCGGCAATCCAGCCAGGCAGGTTGGAGATGCCGACATCCGAGGTCGGGGTCACATGGGGGGTGGGCAGCGGGGAGTTCAGGTTGCAGGTGGCCAGGCAGGCAGTGTCGCCCAGGGCACAGTAGCTGTCGGTGTCGGTGGAGTCACTGGAATCCGACACCAGGCAGAAGGGGAAGGCGGTCGGGTCGCTGTCGACGAAGAAGGGGTTCTCCATGAGGTTGAGCATGTGGGCCTGGGCATTGTGCAGAGCGGCCTTCTCGGCGTCGGCGAACTTGCTGGAGCGGGTCAGGGCCGAGAAGAGGAAGTCACCGTTGGCCGAGGAGTTGTACATGGTCTCGAAGACAGTGGAGAAGTCTGTTGGGCCGGGGGGGGGGAGTCAGTTGATGGCACACATGTGTGTGTATGGGTGAGGCAGCGCGAGGGGGCCGCGCTGGAAAGAAGGAGAGAGAGAGGGGGAGGGGGGAAAGCCCGCCTCTCTCTCTCTCCCCTTCCCCCCAGGATGGCAGGGCAGTCGGAGGGGAGAAGGAGAGGCCCGGTGACATGGCAGACGCACACTGGTTGGCGATCAGACTGGACGAGAGCAGGGCAAAGTTAGCCATGCGGCCGGCCATCCCCTGGGAGGTCCACTGGTGGCTCATGAGCTCGCTCTCGGAGCCGAAGCTGTTGACCACATCCAGGTAGGTGGGGTTGAAGAGGGTGATCTGGTCATTGAGCGAGACACCCTTGGAGGACTGCAGAGCGAAGGAACGCTGGATCTGGTACGAGAGGGTGCTCTCATCGCTGGCGAAGGTGATCTGCTTGGAGTCGTTCATGTCCAGGGGGTAGATGGTGGCATGGTCGGGGCAGCCGTTGTTGTACTGCTGCGCCGAGGGGAAGGTGATGTTGACCTCATAGCGCTGGTTCTACGGGGATGGCGCGAGCCACGGGTGGGCGGGGGGGGGGGGGGGGGGGGGGGGGGGGGCGCGGGGGCGGGGGGGGGGGGGGGGGCAGGCGGCAAGAAGGGCAGTGCCCCCTGCAGCCTCAGACCAGGCGGTTGGCGGGGAAGCGCGTGTGCGCATGTCTGCTCGCGCGCGCGTGCACGCCCGCTCCCGGGGAGGGCCCCCCTCTCCCGGAAGCACGGCGGATGCGTCGGATGACGAAAATGATGGCGCGCACGCCTTCGAAGGACTTGGGGCACTTGCGTCGCTCGTTGCGCTGGCCGCGGGGGTGGGGGGGGGTGTGGTTGTTGTGGTGGTGGTTGGTGTGCGGGGGGGGGGTGGTGATGCCGGTGGGGGTGGGACGCGTCATGATGATGTCCATCTCGGTGGGCTTGTAGGGGGGGGGGGGGGGGGGGGGGGCATGGCGAGTGTTACCAAAATTGCGGGCGGGGGAGAGAGGGGAAGGGAGAGGGAGAGAGGGAGAGAGAGAGCAGGAAGCCAGAAGAGGGGGAGGGAGGGGATGCAGTGACGCGGGCCCGCTCGGGGCCGGTCGCGGTTGACACGCACGGTCCAGGGGGACAGAGAGTCGATGGAGTCCCCGGTGGGGATGTCGCGCTCGACCAGGGAACGGTGGCGGACCGGCGGCACAACGAAGAAGATGATGATACCGATGGCAATCAGCAGCACACCGAGGATGTAGAGGACGATGGACCAGGCCGTGAACTGGTAGCCAAAGTACGACTCATCGATGAAGGCGTAGAAGCGCTCCTTGAGGGTCTTGTCGCTGCCCATCTTGTCTGGAGGCAAGACTCAGGGAGAGGGGGGGGCGCGCGGGGGGTGGGGTGGGGCGGCCTCTCCGAGGGGTGCAAACTCAGCTGGAAGAGGGGGGTCAGGGGGAGGAGAGCGGGACAGAGGGGGGGGGAAAAGGGGAGAGGAGGCGGGAGGGCCACTTGAAACTCCGGTGTGAGTCATTCCCGGCGCTCGGTGGACGCCGAGCCCGGAGGCTGAAGAGTTCGGGCCGGCGTCGGGACGCACCTGCACGCCCGGGGCGCCCCACCCGGTCTGCCTGCCCTCCGGACGGCAGCCCCTGGCCGCCGGAGCGGGGAGGCCGACCGGAGCCTCCCCCCCCCCCCCCTCCGACCTGGGTGTTTGTGCAGGCACACACCCGCTCGCACACCCGCTCGCACACCCGCACACACTCACAGACATACATGCCCTGCCCCGGGATAGGGGCGGCCAGGTTAGCTTGGGGGAGTCTGGAGCGTGCCGCCCCGCAACTCTCCCCCCCCCCCCTCCGGCTTCGACTGCGGACCCTGTAGGAACAGGCGGCGCCCGGGGCCAGGCACCCTGGCAACCCCGCCGCCGGGGGGGCGCGGTGGGGGGAACACTAGCCCGCCTAACAGGGAGGAGAACAAGGATAATTGTATGCGCCCCAGGAGGGGGGAGGGGGGGGGTCAGTGCCTGGTCATACCTGCGCGCCCGGGCGGACGCCAGCCCGAAAACACCACCGGCTCTGCGGGCAAACGGTCTGGACGCTGCGCCCGAAGCCCAGGGGGGGACCTCGACGGGTCTTGTGCCAGGGGACACATGAAACAGAGTCGGCCGCGAGGAGGGGGGAGAGACGGGGGGGGGGGGGGGGAACGCGTCGAGCCCACACGCACCGGCCCGTACAGGTCCAGGGTCGAACATGCGCGCCCGCCCACCGGCCCGGGGTAGGGCACCACGCCAGGAGGCGCGGCAAGGCGCGGCGGACCGGAGAGCGAATATCGTGCCGGTGTGCGCGCGCGCGCGCGTGTGCCCGAGGCCACGCGTAACCGCATCCGGCGCGCGGAAATTCACACGGCGGTCCCCCCGGCCTCCCGCCCCCGGGGGCGCAAAGAATGCCAGCTGCCGAGGTCGGCCGGCTCACCCAGGTACACGCCCGGCAGAAAGGGCAGCCGCCATGCTTCTTCGTCATGACATGCTGAGTGTGCTCGCGCTTCGGCAGGGGTGCGGAAGCCGCCACAGGCACCCCCCGCTCCCCGAGGCAGAGAAGACGCCACCCCGCGGAAGAGGCCGCGCGCCGGGGGAGCCGGCCGCCGTCTCGGCGCCCGCCCCTTTCTTGTACGCGCGGCCCGGCCAGGGCGCGGTTGCCCCGGCCCGCCCCCGCCGAGGCGCCGGCCCCCCGCCCCCTGGTCCCCCAGCTTGGCCCGGGGCCGGCCGGCCGGGCATGCCAGACGAAAGGGCACCGCGGCATGGCACGACACGCACACATACCATGCATGCCCGGGCCGCGGCGGCTCCGGCCAAAAGGGCTGCCCGCCCGCGGACATGACCCCTTCCCCATTACACATACACACACACACACACACACA